CCTGACAACAGCCCCCTATTTATGGACCGTTTAGGATTTGGGCCTAATTTTGACCCGTTTCGCGAAACGCGCTCCGTTGCTCGCCTCATAAGCTGATATCTGATCCACCTATGTAATCTGCGACCGGTATCTTACGAATGTTGCCGGAACACCGAGTCCCTGGACGTGACTCCATTCATTCCTCTCGAAAAATCCGGAGGCAACGCCTCATCTGTCAATGCTTCCACCTTGTGTCGGACCGCGGCCTGCCATAAAGGCCTAAACGGATTTATTCACGTTCTAAACCATTATTTTGCTGTCTGCCTGATTTTCGAACGAAACCCTCCGCGGTTCCCACCGACTCGGAACAGTGAAACTCATTGACGCGACGCGACGCCTGCGTCGGCCCGCCCTCACCTCGCCTCGGGTGTAGTGTTGCTCTCTCTTAGATTGTGAATTGAGGCTTCAGCAACCCTTTCATTCGGCATATGGTATTTCTATTCTTCAAAAATTGCAAATAACACCCAGGTATTTTCAATGGCGACGCTTGCGTAAGGCGGTGGAGGGCGACCGGCCCGGCCCCAAAGTGTCGGAGGATTTTTTGAAATGTGTTATTTTACCATGAAAAAAAAAATCTATGGAAAAATTCGTCCTGGGCAGTGGCGTAAACAAAGAGGGGTGGTGTCTCAGGGGGTCTGGACCCCCCCCCCTTATCCTAGTTAATTGTCCCTTTTTTTACTTTTCACGGAGAAAAAAACCTCGTGCGTGGGACCCGAAGTTTAGGTCATATGGATCTCTGAAGTTTTCGGATTGAGCATCTGAACACTTTAGGTCTAGCTGTCGAGGTTCGGATCACACATCTGAGACTCCAGTTCTTACATCTGAAGTACTTCAGATGCAAGAACCGAAGTTTTTCGGATGTGAAAACCGAGGTACTTCAGATGTAAGAACTGAAGTTTCGGATGTGTGATCCAAACCTCAGCAGCTGGACCTAAAGTGTTCAGATGCTCAATTCGAAAACTTCAGAGATCCATATGACCTAAACTTCGGGTCCCACGCACGAAGTTTTTTTCTCCGTGTGTACGTAGAGGATGGAATAGTTATCTTCAAAATGTACACGCACCCCTCACATTGTTGACGGTTTTGGTTCGAGGTGTGCTAAAAGATTTGCGGTCCTCTTGCTTCGGAAAGGGGTGAGGGTTAGTAGGGCGGGGGAGGCGTTGTGCAACCATCCCTCAGTTCGTTTATTGGAGCAGTCTCGACGGAAAACGCATTAATTATAAAAATTAGTAAGAAAACAGTGTTATGGTCCATCGAAATTGAATTTAGGGATACCAGACACGAATTTTACCGATGGCATGACTGATAAATTAACGCAGGAATCGACATGTACAGAATATTAATTTCGGTCTGCGTAGTTTCTCCTTCGCAAAGTTTCATGTCGAGTTATCATGCTGAGTTCAATACAGCGATTGTTGTACGCATGAAACCTATCAATAAAGTCTTTATGGGAGATGAAGATTATTTTGCTTGGCGGTGGCATCGGCCCGAATCGCCCTCATTTTGAAAAGTATGTGAAATGGGCTCTTACAAGTCTGAATCGTGGCTATCTAGACGTCTGTGCTAGATGTGGTCATTCGCAGCTTTGCTAAGCTCACCGTAAATAATGCGCTAAAGTGTATAAAACTCATTATGTTATGGCAGATGAAGACTCGTCTCCCAATTTTCTGGAGTGCTCCTGATTAAAGCAAGTGATCGTTGTCGTTTAAAGTGGAATCCTGCGTCACACACTAAAATGGCAAGCTAGTGGCTCTGCATGCGTAGCACTTTGTTTGAAAATCAGGTTAATTTTAATGACGTTTGTTAATGACCATCGTTGCAATTGAGAAATTCACCCTTTTCTCTCAGATATATATTTACGAGCATCATACTTTTAAAACATCGGTCTTTCTTTTAATAGAGAGGAAAAGAGGAAGAGAGCGAAAAGGAAGGAAGGGAGAAGAGATAGAAGGGGTTGATAAATGAAAAAATCGAAAAAAACGTAGGTAAGCAAATAATTTTACATTATATGGGCCTGAGTTATCGAAGTAGGTGTGCTGGGATCTGGACTGAATTTAGCGGAAAATAATAGATATTTTGATTAATAAGTGGTCTGATTTTTGTAGTATTTCCATTTCATTCATCATAAAAAACACTGCCATCATAAATTTGAATATTAATGAGCTGGGCATGCTTCATTATTCATCTCTGGCCGCAACTAACTGTAAGTCATGTTTGCTTCACACATTTTTCCATTTTGCAAATTAATTTCTTTCGGTTCCTTTAACTTCTTCCATTCCGTGGTCCTTTAGTGTAGTTTTGGGACTTGCGATCCTATCAGAAGCTGACTGTAAATGAACCTAATGATGGAGGATTAATGACCAAAAAAGAAAAAGAACATTTTTAAAAGCAGGAGAGCTAAAGTTCTGGACATTCTAGACAATCAGCTGATCGGCAATATTTCTCACGCTTTACCCTCCGTCCTTATGGGAATTTCAAAATTTCAAACTAATATCATAAGAATAATGCCAAGTAATAACACAGCTATTCCTTTTTATCTCGTTCACTGGTTATAGATTGCACATTAGTTCCGCAGTGATTGGTAGTTATACACCGTTAAGCGATTATTTCAAAACTGGTTTTCAGTCGTTTTCATTTCATTGCCTCTCGTTTTGTGGTTTTTTATTTCGTCGGCTTACATGATCGTCCTTTTTCTCTCACGATTTTTGGAACTTCAAAAATACTGCCAAATTATCTTATAAAGATGTTTATGTTGTGATGTTCTTATGTTGTGAAGATTTTTATCGATACTCTAAGTCGAAAAATACGTATTTCCATCGCAGCGTTGCACAATCTCGAGTATGTTTTAAAACGGAGAAGAACGCAGAGAATCTATAAAAATCAGTAGATGTAGTCCGCAGCGTGAAGAACATGATTAATTTCTTTAATTGAGTATTAAATATAAGTTGTGTTCTTTTTAAAAACGAAATAGTTAAGGCCAAGATATATTTCTAGCTGCAAAATTAAACAACGCACATTTTATTGCTGTGAGAAATATTGGAAAAAATTCACTGAAGAATCGTAAACATCGAGTAAAACCAATTTTTGCTTTCATGAAAGCTTACGTCATCCTTGGCTTGAGCTCCCCCCCTCCCCGTCCCCCACCG